ACAAAACTAAAAGAACAATGACACTGATACTCTTGGAAATCATGATATCTCAATAAAAAACGCCTGGTCACAAAAGAAAATTGGATCATGGGTGAAATGATCCATGAGGCAAAGAAATCTGATAAATGTAGTTTCAAATTTACAGCCTTGATTGTACATGAAAGTAAATTTGAACAACACAATCTGTTCTTTTTTACTCCAAAATCCAATGTGAGGCACTATGGTTTATAATATAGGTACTGAAAATTTGTCATCTATTCCACTTTACCTATTTTCAGTACTCAATTATTGTCCAGAGTGATATCCAACTGTCATTGTCATAATGGCCTCTTCTCTATCCTAACTGCCCTCAATTCCCCTCCCCAACTGTAGCAAGCTTCCAACCATGGACCAATCTTTCTGGCCCTCATTTCTACTGTCCTTGGTTATTAGTCCCATACTACTGTTTTTTATGTCCCACAAATTAGTGCAATCATTCTACACATCTCATGATGATTCAATTAAAAAAATTAGGGGGCTGGAGCAATAGCACATCAGGTAGGGCCCGGGTTCGATTTCCAGCATCCCATATGGTCCCCTAAGCACCGCCAGGAGTGGTTCCTGAGTGCAGAGCCAGGAGTAACCCCTGTGCATCGGTGGGTGTGACCCAAAAAGCAAAAAAAAATTAAGTGAAAAAAATCAAAATTTGAGAAGGGAAAGCAGGATGAGACTAACCATTTGTTCTTCATATCATCTCTGTCGTCCATCCTGCAATCTCAAGGGCTTAAATAAAATGGATTTTGGTTTCCTTTGTGTGTATATTTAATTTATTCACAAAGCCACTTAGTTGTAATAGTGGATGGGACATTTGGGGGTTGCTTCCCTTGAAGCATACCCTGTGGTAAAGATCTGTGTGGAATGTTGAGTTATGAAAGAAAATTCAATTGAGAGAAACTGAATCTAGATGCTTGCTCAGACTTGGGTTTATCCCTTTGATAAGACTAAGTGTGTTATATTCTTTCATCAGAAGGTAATAACTTCCAGGGTCCTCTCTTTTTGATATTATTAGACATTAATAATAAATTTCTAGCTCCATTTAAGTTCCCGGTAGATTCAAAAGGTGAAATTTTAATTCTATCAATTTTCATTCATAAATGAAACAACTATATAGGAATATTTATGTAAAAAATTACATGATTTTATAAGGAAATATGATTTTAAATTAGGATAAATCCTAGATTACAGGTGAAACATCCATCATTACAGTTTCTTTTTTACAAAACTGTAAATGGCCTTTAACATGGAGTTAAAATAAGTATTCTTGTCACATTTGGTACAGGGTTACTATGACACAGAACCTATCAAACTCTTTACTAAACCATAGCTTAAAATTAGTTCTCTAAATAGGACCAGAAGATTGTCAAATTTACTTGCTCCTTTGTGGAAAAACTTTAGAGATGACTGAAATTGCCCACTTTCTCTCCCCAAATCTATAACACACCTAAAATTGTCTTCTCTTTATAAACTATTGAGACTGTGCTCTGGATAAAGAGTCACAGAAAGCCAAAACTTTTTAGAACTTTGCGTTGGCATTACTTGGTAACTTTAGAGAAGTTTATTCTTGTGTCAGCTCCCTGTGATTTGAGAAATTAAAGGCATGCTTTTACTTTTGTTCAATCTATGCTTTTATCATAAAAGCAGTATGCTTTTATCATAAAAGCTACCCGAGATTAGAATATATATAGACTAGACATTGTGATCCATTGTTGATAGACCAGTATCAATCTGTCAGGGGGCCTATAGCAAGGAGTGGTTTTCAAAGAGGCCATTTCAGTGCAAATCCTATGTGCTTCAATGGACTTCTGCAGCCTACGTGTCTAAGATACAATAAGAGGTTCATTTGTTTGGTGCAGATGCTCTTCCTCTTGGAAGGAATGTGGCTTACAAGGAAATAGGGCCAAGTCTCTTGTGTGCTGACATTTATCTATATAGGTCTTTGTGTTTCCCATCCCTGACATCCCAGGTCAGGACATCCTCCTCAAAGAATGTTTGTGATTCAAAGTTCCGCAATTTTGTACGTCCTCACTTGAGGCAAAATCATTAATAACTCTACTGTGGTAGCACTTTGCCAAGTTCTTGCCCAATTAAGTGGCTTTGTTTTTTAACCAATAATCTGCTAGGTCTCTCTGATAAAATTGATAGCTTACAAGGACTTGAATCTGCCTGGCTACAAACACATGCACATGTCTTCCCTATAACATGTTTCATGTACAGAACTTCAAATCCGCCTGAAAAACACAGCATCACAGAAATATTCATTGAATAAATAGCCTGTGTTCCTTAGCAACCAGTTCAGGAGCAAAAGGGAAAATATTCACGATAATATCTCAGTCTGATGCATTTTCGTCATGCTATTATTTATCTGCTACAAAAACTAAGCTCATTTATTCTGTAAGCTCCCTCCTTGATAAGGAATCTCACTTGCACTTTCTTCTAATCACAATTATCTGATTTTCATGTTGATAGTCTTCCAATTTGACCATCAGCTGCAGTATCTAACACAGCCAAAATGTATTCATCCATTTGATACATTTGAGTCAGGTACTTTGTGTTTGCAAGGACCGTTTGGAATATGAAGGAGAACTAAACCAATGCTGAAACTATTAAGGAAAAAATGACATATCATTCTTGTAAATAAATGTACATGTCTTAGGGTTATTGGTCAGTGGTAGAGAATGTGCTTCATATACATGAGTCCTGATCAAATGAAAAAGGGATCACACAGAAAATCAATGTATTCATTTCCCTTGTAGTAGAAAACCAGTTTTTAATAAGACAAATAATACTATGGTCAATATAACACAGGATAGAGTTAAGAAGCAAGGCTATCAAATTAAATGAAACTGGACCTAATTTCATGATGCATGGTTTGTCCTCAGGTAAATGATTTAACTTCTGTGAGTCCAGCTATCATACGTAATATATATTATTGTAATATATTTAAAAGAGTAAATAACATTTCTGAATAATTATTTTTAAACCAGGTTTCTTTAAACAATATCATAAGTTATTTTTTAAAAATTCATCCTCTCTACAAATATGTACGCAAATATGCATGAATATGTAAATATAAAAATTTATTCGCTTTAGAAATACTGATACCCATTCTGAAGTTAGCCAGAAAGAGAGGACAGATATGGAATTATCTCTCTCATATGGCTATAAAGAAATTTAGTAAGGGAGTAACAAAAGGCCAAAGGCAAAAGTACCTGAGAGCTGGTTTACAGAACTGAGCTTATGACCGCAGAGGGATAGGGCTCGCGGGGGCGGGGGGGGGGGGGGAGTGGGGGGCGGGGGGGAAGCTGCGGGGGGGGGGGGAGGCACTGAGTCAGTGGTGGGAGGAAGCAGACACTCTGGTGGGGGGTGTGGTGTTAGAACGATGAGTGCATGAAACCCTACCATTAACAGTATTGTGAATCACAGTGCTTCAACCGATTTTTTTTTTAATACTGCTATTTTGCTCTACCCATAGAGCACTTTCTGGGCAAGAAGCTTTTCCCCTGGCAGCTTCCCAGAGTTTCGCTGATGAAAACTCTCAGGAATTTCCACTTCGAGTAAGGCGCCCTCAGCTGAACCTTTTCAGCTAAGGTTGTAGCCCATTCCGTGGAGCCAGAGAACCTAAGCTAACTTGTTTCATTTCGTTTGGCTCTGTTTGAAAATTTCATTCCAGCACTCAAGCTTCCATAACTGTGGCTGAGGCATGTATATGGAAATCTCTTCTGCTTCCCTCATACAGGCTGTTGCCAAAACTCCCCAGAAAATTTGTTCACCAATATCATTTCATAGTCAGTCTCCTCAGTGAATTTGAGTAAAAGACAAGAAACCACCAAAAGGATTGGCAAAGTGCTAGAAAGTGACAGTGTTTTGTGCTGTGATGGGCCATATGTTCACTGTTCAACACTGCTGTTATGATGTGAAAGAAACCACGACAATCTATGCATCAATGGGCATGGCTGTCTCCAATAAAACTTTGTGTTATGAACACTGAAGTTACTATCAGAATTTTCATGTCTTAAAATACGGCTTTGGTTTTTTTTATACCCTTTTAAAAAACGGGAAATACATTCTTAGCTCCTGAGAGTTCATGACAAAGCTAATAAGATTTATTGTGGTGCACACTTGCAATATATACAAATATTTAAATTGCCTCTGATGCTAATACAATATTAAGATGTCAATTCTATATGAAAAAGGGGCTTCGTTTGGTCTGTGGGTCATAGTTTCTCAAACCCTGTGCTAAAAGTATGGGTAGCGCAGTGAAGCAGTTAAGCACCCAAAAAACTGTCCTTATAGTGGATGAATTTACAGAATTTGAAATCATAGCACTCTGGAATTTGTAATCTTTTTTATTTTTGATGTTTTTGACCAAACATTTCAGACATCACTCCTGGAGAGGCTCAGAGGATAATATGTGGTGACAGAAATCGAACCACAGTTGGCCACATGCAAGGCAAGCAACTTACCCAATACAATATTTCTCTGGCCCCTATACTCTTTTTTAAACATGGTAAAAACCACTTCCTGGTCTGGAGAATTAAGGGAGCATATGTCAAAGGAAAATTTTAACAATGGGAGAAACAAGATTCATAATTTTTGTTGAAGTTCATTTCAACCAAGAAAATTTACATGCAGCAAAATAGAATGAAATAGTATTCACCATATGGTATTTATTTTCCATTAGAAAATTCCATCTCCAATAGTAAACTGAATTAGGTCATGTAAATGGTTATTTTTTACTGTAGCTATAGTTAAGTCCTCATTCAAAAATCAAAACATCATTGCAATATATTATAATTTTAATCTTTAGAAGAATATATTTAAAATGATCTATTGACACAAAATAGAGAAATGTGATATAGACAAATATTTTGAAGTGTCTGAAGCTGTCCTGCTGTCCAAATTGATCATCCTTCTAGAGTCCATTTTCCTCAAAATAAAACAAGTTAGTGGAGTTCATTTGGATAAGAAACATTATTAACCCGTTATCCTCAAATTTTGATTTTTTTTTGGTGTTTGCTTTGGTGTGCTTTCACATTTGACTTCTTTTTCTCGATGTCTCTTTAAATTTCTTATTTTAAACGAGTCATGCCATTTCTTTTAATCATTTTCAGTTATTTTACTACCCTCTCTTTGAAATAATTTTCTATGACTCCTCTTCCCACATTCCTTCATCATAGGCAATATTAAGCGATTGCCTCTTAGTTACATCTGACTTCCAGTCCACCTTTACTTCTCATGATTACTCTAATATACCTTCTGGCACTTTCTCAGAAGAAATGAATAAAGTGTTGCTCTAGGTTAGAGTAGTTGAGAAAGAGGAATGGAAGTATCCTCTCTATGGATTCACATTGCTATACTGAGAAATATGGAGGCTAGGAGTACTGATTTCTGTAGACACCAACTGTAAGAGGCGGTTAATGACTATATCCTTAGCCTTGGATGTCTCCAAATTCTTCTCTCGAGACACTTGAAGGCTAATTTGGTCCACACTTGTCATGATGAGTTCAGATGCCAGAATTTGGGTTGGAGAACTGTCATTAAATGCAGTATCCATAATGTACTGCTTATATAACTCTACCACCTTCTGCTCCAGGTACTCATTCAGCATTGCGTTAGAGATAGGCTTCTGCATTTGCAGGCTGTTTTTCTCTTTGATGCTGGTTATCTTCCAGTAAGATGAATACTGCTTGATCGGTTTGGGGGGAAAGTCACTAGGCTGAGTGGAAATGAAATCCTCCATGGGTAAAGGAATCTCAGATGATTTTAGCAAGGGGCCATATTCAAAACTGCTCTCAGAAGGAAAATCTGTTACCACAGAATTAATGGCCATGACCTGGCCCCCTGCAATATGTAAGTCATTGTAATTCTTGCAAATACTTTTGCAGGAAGGTGGAACCAAGTAAGTCTCTCTGCTGAGGTCTCTGCATGTTTCATCGGCAGCCAAGCTTGGGCTCTCAAACACAGGATTTGAGTATGTCTGCAGCACTGAGAAGCTCTGATTTCTACTGTGTTGGCTCTCTCTTGAATGCACTGAAGAAACAAAGTTGTTAGAGGATTTGCAGCCTACATAGAGACTCCTGACCTGCGTGTTATCCACAGAGGAGTAGGAGAGAGCAGCTGCAGAGTTTGTCTCTGCCTCGTTTTCCTCAACCACCTGCTTGTTATAAGGTGCACAACTCCAGTGAATATCGTTCCAGTAGGCAAGTCCACTGAGATATCCTTCTGACAGCATTCTGGAAAAAGAGTGAATAAATTACCATGGGGGAAAGCACAGACTGTGAGTTTCAAAACTGGCAGTTGATATTATAAAATTTTAAAAAAGGACAGGGCCAGAGAGATAGTACAGTGAGTAAGGTGCTTGCCTTCTATCCAGCCAACACTGGTTCAATCCCCAGCACCCTATATGTTTTCCTGAGCACAACCAGGAGGGGTCACTGAACGTAGAGCCAGGAGTAAGCCCTGAGCACCACTGAGTGTGGCCCCAAACAAAGCCCCCCAAAGTAGAAGACAATAAATGAAATTACTGCATTCATTCAACAAGACATTATTAATTCTGTACCTTCAGTGAACCAGAACTATGTAAGGTGATAAATATACCAAGATGAACAGAATATAGTTCCATCCTTCAAGAAGTTTACACTAGGGGCTTGAGCGATGGCACAGCGGGAAGGGTGTTTGCTTTGCATGCAACCAACCCAGGTTCGATTCCCAGCATCCCATATGGTCCCCTGAGCACCACCAGGACTAATTTCTGAGTGCATGAGTCAGAAGTAACCCCTGTGTATTGCCGGGTGTGACCCAAAATTTTTTTAAATTGTTTACACTAAAGTAAGTGGGTACAGGCAGTGACAACTTTATATCATTGCATTTGGTTGCATGTTAATAATACCCAAAGGAAGTATAGAGGAGGAGCCCCTAACCCAGCCCGAGATACAGGGACAGAGGTCACAGGAGATGTCACATAGTAGGTGATGACATGTCAGCTAAGGCATGAAGACTAAAAGGAAGCTGCAGTCATCAGCACAAAATTAGAATAGAATATGATGCCATGGCCTGTTTACCATATATCAAGAATCTGAGCAGAAGGAGACAGAGAAATTGCCTAGCTGTGGATCATGCAGCGCTTTAGAAGTCAAGCAGTCATATTTGTGTTGCATCCTAGAAGAAATACAGATTGATAGAGAAAGTGCAGATTGAGGAAGTGACATATTGAGTGGGTTATCAGAGGAAATATGTTGCAAAATCTACTGAAAAGTAGAGCTGTATGTTTCGTCGCCTTTGTATTTTACTATAAGGAGCAACTAGCACCATTGTTTGCCTTTCCAGAGACTCTAAATTTGTTAACTTGTATCAAACAGTTGACAGCAGTATCATGGTATGAAATTAATTCACATCCAACTGACCATGAAGGATTATAAACTGCCCCACTGATGTTTACTCCTGGTTTCCAAGCAGCTTTCCTGACCAAGGCCTTTTTCTCCACCTGCCTCTGCTCCCCACACTCAGCATTTGTCACTGGAGTTTAAAGTGTCTAGAATAGACTAGAAACCAGCAGCTGCATTTTCTAAAAAAAGGACCTCCCCTGTCTGAAGCAACAGTCAATAGCAAGGAAAGATGTAGTTCTTTGGCCCCCAGGACCAGACTGTACAAATAAACTGGTCAATGTAAGCCTGAAACTGAAGTCAAGACAGAAAGATTTGAACTTTTTGTACAGTCCCTTCATAAAAATATCAGCATCACCTTCTATTCGTGTAACTATTCCCCAGTGCATTTAAATTGCATAGTAATACTATTATAAATGTAATATAATCAATTCCATTCTCCAGATTATTTCAACTATTTCAATGTCTATTCCATTCCAGGCACTAGGTACCATAAAAATACAAATTTTTAAGATCTTCCCTAAAGCCATGAAGCAATTCTGGAAAGCAAATCACATTTCTAAAGATCAAGCAAATCATGTTTCTGGAAAAAAAGTTAATGCTGTAATTGGGAAAAGTTACCTTAGTGTAATTCTATCCTCAACAATATGAGCAGGTAGGTGAAAAGTATAATCTCCAAAACTTGAAAAAATAAGTAGAAGTTTGGGTGAGATGGTACAGGGGTTGAGGCATTTGCCTTGCACACAACTGACCTGGATTTGATCCCCAGCAGCCTATATGGTCCCCCAAGCACCGCCAGAAATGACCCCTGAGCATAGAGCCAGGGATAAGCCCTAGGCACCGCCAAGAGTGGCCCTAAAACAAAAAAAAGAATTTTATTATAAAGGCTTAGTAGTGATACAGTAACTTCACAACCCTACTACTCAGACTATATCAGGGCCATTCCACCTTGATGGCTTTGGATTACATTGTGGAGTCTGAGAGATAGTGTAGGGGTGAAGAAGCATGCTTTGCATGTGGCTTGCCCAAATTTCAGCACAACATCATGTGTTCCCCAAGCAGGGCAAGACCTAAGCACCAGTGCATCCTCAGGCCTTCCCACTGAACCATCAAGAATCCCAGGAGGGCCCCCTGAACCTCCTGAGAATTGCTTTGGAGATATCCTCCCACCAAAAATGGAAAGAAAGAAATAAAAAGAAGAAAGGAAGGAGAGAGGAAGGAAGGAAGGAAGGAAGGAAGGAAGGAAGGAAGGAAGGAAGGAAGGAAGGGAGGGAGGGAGGGAGGAAGAAAGGAAAGGAGGGAAGGATGGAGGGAGGGAGGGAGGGAGGGAGGGAAGGAGGGAGGGAGGAAGGGAAGGAGGGAGAAAGAATATCATGGGAGGGAACCAGACTAAAATTACAGGCTTTTTATAGCACTCCTGGGAATATATCCCAGAGAGGCAAAAATGTATAGTCGAAGTGACATCTGCAAGTGTTTGTTCATTGCAGCACTCTTTACAATAGCCAAAATCTGGAAAAAACCTGAGTGCCTGAGAACAGATGACTGGTTAAAGAAGCTTTGGTACATTTACACAATGGAGTACTATGTAGCTGTTAGAAAAGATGAAGTTATGAAATTTACATACAAGTGGTACTACATGGAAAGTATCATGTTAAGCGAAATGAGTCAGAAAGAGCGGGATAGACACAGAAAGATTGCATTCATCTGGGGAACATAAAGCAACAAAACGGGAGACTAACACCCAGGAAGGGCTCAGATTAGTACCAGGAATTTTGCTCCATGACTTGAAGGCCAGCCACATGTGCTAGGTGAGAAGGAAGCTCAGATAGAGAAGAGAGCACCAAATAAAGGGTGTTGTGAAGACCCTCCCAGGGTGGGAGAGACATGCTAAAAGTGGTCTATAGACCAAACATGACTGCCACTCAATGCCTCTCTGGCAAAACACAGTACCCAAAAGAAGAGAGAGAGAACAGGGAGGAATGCCCTGCCACAGCGGCAGGGTGGGACGGGGGGGGGGGGGGGGGGGGGAGGATGGGGGGTGGGAGGGATGCTAGGACCCGTGGTGGGGGAGGATGGGCACTGGTGGAGGGATGGGTACTTGATCATTGTATAACTGAAACCCAAGCACAAAAATTTATAAGTCTATAAGTGTACTTCATGGTGTTTCACTAATAAAAAAAATGATAAAAATAAATAAATAAATAAATAAATAAAAAATAAAATTACAGGCTTTTGAGTTTCTCAATAGGCTTTGGAAATTCTTGGTATAAATAACAGTTTTTACAGAAATGATGTTTGATATATATATATATTATGCCCTGTGTTTGTAAACCTCATAATCTAGGAAAATATGGGGCATAAAATTTATCAATAATAAACTCTGTGGACAGATTTTTTGCATGAAGACCATATGATTCCAGATAGGTTTGGAGGGTTAATGATAGATGTTTTGTCCCACCTCCCAGGAAGATTCTCAGGAAGCAAAAAGTATTGCAAAAGTCTCTCTTGCCTGGCCTTGGGTGGGGGCAGAAATCATGCCAGCTGTGTAGATTGCTTGGTTGCATCAGCCTGACACTGCCTCAAGTTTTCTTGCATATGAACATGCTGCCCAGACTAAAGCCAAATCCCTGGACAATACCTATACTCGAGATGGAGGACTTCAGATGCAATATTTCAAGTTTATTATCAAAGGCGCTGAGGGGAAAGTTGCTATAGATGTCACTGTGTTGGACGACAACCAAAGACACTCCTAGCCCACCTCCCCAGCTGACCTACACTCAGAAAAGCTTCAACGTATAGGCACCCCTGTTGGGTGAAGCGGAGGGTCCCCTGGAATGATTAAAGAAATGCTGATCAACAGTGATTACTCAGTTGAGTATGATTACAGTCAAATTGAGATGGAGAAAAGCAAAGTTTTCCAGGAAACGAGCAGTTCTTTTATCCCTAATCCTCAGTGAAGGACCTGCGGATGTGAGACTGCTTCATGCTGAAGTGCTAGGGATACCTGGGCCACTCCCATGGCTCTCTAAGGGTGCACCTGGTGATGCTTGGGAGACTACGTGGTGCTGGTGCTGGACCAGTGATCAGATGCATGCTAGCATGTGCCATAGTTGCTGTACTATCTCCCAGACACAGCAAGGCAGTAAGTGATATTTTAAGATGATATAGTCATATAGTCAAAGACACAATAGAAAAGCAGTAATATCTGAAGGTGAAAAAGCAGGAGACCAAGGATTAATGACTTCCAAGACCTGAGAAATCAGAGTCTTCCCAAGATTTAACTATTCCTCAATGGCCCAGGGGCATAGTACAGGAAAAGGTGCTTGCCTTGCATGCAGGCAATCTCTGCTCAAATCCCTGGCATTGCATATGGTCCCCTGAGCAAAGAAAGGACTGAACCCTGAGCACAGAGACAGGAGTAAGACATGAGAACCACTAGTTATGATACACCACCCAAAGTAAATAAATTCCTCTAAATGTTTAGGAATGGGTGGCTTCACCCATTCTTTGGGAGTAAGTTTAAAGGGGATTATAGGGGCTGGAGTAATAGTACAGCGGGTAGGGCGTTTGCCTTGCATGCGGCCGACCTAGGTTCAATTCCGAGCATCCCATATGGTCCCCTAAGCACCGCCAGGAATAATTCTTGAGAGCAAAGCCAGCAGTAACCCCTGTGCATCACCGGGTGTGACCCAAAAAGCAAAAACAAAGGAGGGGATTATATCTAGAGTAAGAACAATGGCTTAAAGATGACTGGATAAAGAAACTATTGTACATATATACACAACGGAATACTATGCAGCCGTAAGAACAAAAATAAAATTCATGCAATCTTCTGCAATGTGGATGGAGCT